GGCGCCGCCGGGGGGGGCTGTGGCTTCAGGTGACAGCCCGGAAGCTGCGGAAGCGGATGAAGCAGAGCCGTGCAGGCCCGGAGGGGCTTCGCGGAGGTGAGGGAGCTGTTTGGCGGCCCTCGAGCCCGTGGCGCAGCGCCCATGTGGCGCTCGGGCTGATCTCTAGGGCGTGTGGGCCGACCTCGGCGGTTGGAGTCGCGGTGCGGGCCTGCGGCGGACGCCCATGGAGAAGGCTGGGCGTGAGGGTGACGGCGCCCCCTGCGGGCCTGTCCTGCACATCGTGGTGGTCGGCTTTCACCACAAGAAGGGCTGCCAGGTGAGGACCGGCCCGCGCCCGCTCGGCGCCCGCGGCCTTGCGCGCCCTGTCCCTCCGCGAAGTGCATGACGAGCAGCGGGGGGTTCGGGCTCCCGGAAGAAAGACGGCCGCGCCTTCGGTTATCTGCGGGTCTTCACTGACCCGCCGGGCGTCTGTCTACCCATAGAGTCTTGACGACAGACTTGGGCGTTTGGACGCCCCGGAGGCGGGGAGCTGTGGCTTTCCACGCGAATGCTCGAGGGCTGACGCGCGAGGCGCCGCCGCGCAGGGGAACCAGCTTCCTTTGTTTATCTCCTGCGAGCCTCAGGAGCGGGTAGCGTAGGGTTGGCGCTCGGCCCCGCCCCCTTCTCTTGTGCCATTTAGGGTTTGCTCCCGTCCAGAGCTTTTCTTTTGCTTCGGGTGACACTCCAAGTCAGTTACAGTAAATACAAGTGCAATGTAGCAAGCAGTTAGTGCAAATGGACATGTATTAACTTCTGAGCTGGCTCTTCAACCCGCCGCGTGAAAGGAGCGTTTGCTCTTGTGTTCAAGGCAGAGGAGCAAAATAGAACAGGGTTCTTGAGTCCGAAGAAACACTGGAAGGCAGTGATGTCATAATGTGCTAGTGGTTGTAGAATGACTACTTAAGATACTGAAGAAAAAAAAAAAATGGTGGTGGTGGTGGTGGTGGTGGTGGTGGTGTGTGTGTGTGTGTGTGTACTGCTAACTTCAAGCCACGTGTGGTGCTGGCACATGGCTTGAATGTGAGCAAATGGGAGGCTGAGATAGGAGGATTATCTTAAGTTGGACAGAGTACTTAGACCCTGAATCAAAAAAGAGACCATTAACTTTAAGGTATTATATTTCTTTATCCTCAGGTTAAAAAGATAGAATAACACCAAAGAGAAAGTAGTAGTGTGTGATACTAAGATTATTTAGTACTTCAGGCCTACAGCTGTCGAACTAACTAGTTGCTTCATAAGATGTGAGTAAAGAGACAAAACTTGACAAAGATCTTACTGAAAAAAAAATGCTGAGATCATACTGAAAAACAGCCCTGGACAGTCAGATCTCCATGAGTTTGAGGCCAGCCTGGTCTACAAATTGAGTTCCAGGACAGACAGGAGTGTTACACAGAGAAACCATGTCTTACAAAACAAACAAACAAAAAAACCAGAAAACAAAACAAAACAAAACAAAAAAAGAGCCCTGGAATCAGAAATGGAAACTTTGCTTCCTGTGCCATGTGTGTGTCAGTGTGGACTTTCTGGGTAAAAACCATGTGGAAGCTCACTTCAGAACTACACTGAATGGAGCTCTGAAAAGAAAGAAGAAAACATCAGTATTGATAGGAGATAGGATGGAGTCTCCTAATTCTTGCTGCCATTTGAAAGTCTAGATTTTATGTTTTTTGCCTGTCTTACTGGCTTTATTTGTAATATATATTTCTGTAAAGGAAAATGAAAGTAGTACTGCATAAAGATTAAAGTACAGAAAAGGAAAGATAAATAGCCCCCTGCATGCTGTGTCATTTCCTTGTCTTTGGGTCTTGGTTTCAGCACACAGATAAAAGTGACTGCTTTTGTAAAGTAAGTTCTGTGCAGAAGTCAGGCGGGCTATTGTATCTTTCCTAATTTGCCCTTCTCCATTTCCTAATTTGCCAGATAGTTTATAATAATTGCAATGAAACAGAAAAATCCTAGTTGAGTTTTTCCCCAATTGATGCTCAAAGTAGCTTTATTTATTATTCACCTCTGTAAAATTACACCTACCCTAGGGTATTGTAGAAACAAAGCACTAAGAACCTAATCCTGGGCTGGGAGAATGTAACTCAGTGGTAAAGTGCTTGCCTAGTGAACACAAGGTTTTGGGTTGATGGTGGATCTCCGTGAGTTCAAGGCTAGCCTGGTCTACAGAGTGAGTTCCAAGACAACTGGAGCTACATTATACAGAGATCCTATCTTAAAACAAAAACAAACAAAAATGTTTATTATTTTTCTCAGCATACCCTGCTCTTTGTTTAATGTCATACGTGAATAATTATTTATATAATTCTTCATCTCCTGTTCCTCTTCCAATTCCTCTTGTGTCCCTCCTCAAATTCATGTTTCATCTTTGTTACTGTTACTCATGCGCAAGCCTGTGTCCATGAGGGCTTGCTCTCTCTCTCTCTCTCTCTCTCTCTCTCTCTCTCTCTCTCTCTCTCTCTCTTTTAACCTCCTGAGTTCATTTGATGTTGCTTTTATGTATATATGTTTAGGGTTGACCACTTCCAATAGATAATTAGGGACTTGTCCCTGGAGAAGCCTGAGTCTCCATCTCTCAGCTCCATTAATTGCCCATAGCTCTTTATCTAGGGGTGGGCCTTGTGAGATATCTCCCGTTTACTTTGGCGTATCTACTGTTGTCATTTTGCAAGTATTGTTTAGGCAACCATATTACTGATATCATGTGTGTGGCTTCCCTGATACATGTAAAAGATAGTGCCTCACAGCACATGCCCTTTTTTTGCTTTGTTTTTGGAGACCGGGTTTCTCTGTGTAACAGCCCTAGCTGTCCTAGAACTCACTTTGTAGACCAGGCTGGCCTAGAACTCACAGAGATCTGCCTGTCTCTGCCTCTCTGCCCCTGCCTCTCTGCCTCTGCCTCGAGTGATGGGATTGAAGGTATGCACCACCACTGCCCAGCCTCCTCTGGCTCTTGAATGTTTCCATCTCTCTTCCACCATGTTCTCTGAGCATTAGGTGTAGGGATTGTGTGGTAGATACTGTCCACTGGGGTGGGCACCTCATGGTCAGTTCTCTGCATTCTGACCAGTTGTGGATTTCTGTAAAGAATCAAAAGGAAAAAAAAAAAAAAAAAAGGCTTCTCTGAGGAGTAAGAGCTATACATACCAGCCTGGGCCAGCCTGCAAATCACATTGCCGTAATCTTTTGTTAAATAATCAAGTATGTATCAAGCAAGCTCTGATTTTGTTCATAGTTTTACATTTTTAAACATTCAGTAGAGAGCAGTTATTTTCCAAACCTTAAAATTACTTTATTGTAGTTGGATTTTTCTTCGGGCTGCCAGATCACAAATAACAATACAGAGATTTATTATTAATTATGAAAGCTTGGCCTTAGCTTGGGCTTGTCCTACCTCTTATAACTTAAATTAGCCCATTTATATTAATCCACATTCTGCCACATGGTGTAACTTCATCTCCATACTGCCCATCCTGCTTCCTCCGATTGTGGCTGGTGACTTCACCTTCTTTTCCAGAGTTCTTTCTCTGCCCAGAAGTCCCTCCTATACCTCCTGGCTAGCTATTGGCATTCAGCTCTTTATTATACCAGTCAGGAGGCATCTTAGGCAGAGACACATCTTTACAGTATACACAAATATTCTGCAACACTTTATTTGTTGTGTGTACAACATTCATGGAATGGGGACATGACCCATTTGTGGAAATCAGAGGATAATCAGTTCTCTCCATCAGCATTTTACACAGGTTCCATAGATTGAATCCCAACATTTACACAGGTTCCAGAGAATGAACCAGTGTCTTCGTGCTGGCATTGTCCGGCTACAGGCACCTTTACCCACTAGGCCATCTGACCACCCTAAATTTTTGCTTTTAACCTCTTTTCTGATAGATAGCTTGTCTGTATACATAGCTAGCAACTTAAATTCTTTTTTGATTTTCCCTGTGTAGCTTTGGCTGTTCTGAAATTCACTCTGTAGACCAGGCTGGCTTCAAGCTCACAGAGATCCTCCTGCCTCTGCCTCTGCCTCTGCCTCCCAAGTACTGGGCTTAAATGCATGTGTCACCACCTCCCAGCTTAACTTCACCTCTTGTGAATGTTTTTACCAAACTGTATTCCTTTGCTTTCTTTATTCTTTGAGAGCATCATGTAAGTATGTAAAGTCTTTAGGTCATTTTACTCCTGCATTATTCTTTTTCATGCCCTCCACTCCTACTGAACCCTTTCTTCTCAACAAGTCTTCCTTCATGTTTCATTTGTTACTTATGTGTGTGACCCACTGCACAAGCATGGATGGGGAAGTTTTTCACTGAAACTTGGGCAGCTTAATGGCTACACTGTTCAAGAGAATAATCCCCCCCACCACCATTCCCCAGCAACTGTAACTGCCAGTAGCTCCTCAAACATGGGCAGGCCTTATGACCCTCTCTCCATGACCCTGTATTTCTTTTCCCCCCAGGATTTATTTATTTTGTGTGTACATGTGTGTGCCTGAGTGTATATATGTTCATATGCATGCAGGTGCCCATGGAAGCCAGAAGAGAAAGTAACAGGCACTTGTGAGCTGCTTGATATGGGTGCTGGGAACCTGAGCTCTTTGGAAGAGCAACAAGTACTCTATCTTCTCAACTATCTCTCCAGCCCCACTCTGTATTTCTGGGGAGGAAGAAAAAGAATTGCAAAACAGTTGGACCATTGCTAAGGAACTTGAGGTTTCCTTTTGTGGGCTTTTAGTCTTTTAATAAAACAATTTAGAAACTTACTTAGAAGGAAATTTAAGGGCCATTTCTTTAGAGTTTGAAAAAAAAAAAAAAACAGGAGCAGAATGGTGGTGGTGCACACCTTTGATCCTAGCACTCGGAAGGCAGAGGTAGGCAAATCTCTGCATTCTAGGCCAGCCTGATCTACAGAGCCAGTTTAGGACAGCCAGGGCTACACAGAGAAACCCTGTCTCGAAAAACCAAAAGAAAGG